ATAATGTATAATTTGCTTAGTTTTTGTTGTTATAACTTGAAACAAGATTAGAAGTTTATGGTTTTGCCTTCACTGAATATAGCCCAAGATGGGAACCAGGCAATTTCGAGGAATAAAATGAAAATAACCATGCTTTTTGAAAAATTTCATGAACCCAGAGCTAAATTGAACTGAATGAGGACTCAAGTAGCTGCTGAGATTGATGGGATGGGTTTGTATTGGGTACATAACCTGAATTGCTATGGTGTAAAACTAGAATAGAAAATGATTGGAGACACTTTTTGATCATTGACATGATAAGAAAAGATTTTCGTATAATTCTTTAAAATGCTTATTTCTCCATTTAATTTTGTTTCTAGTTCAGTTTTTAGTTGATTACATGGGTCTTAAAAAGCAGTGTTTTTTGCTATTTTTGCAGGTCCAACCATCTTATTTTTCCAAGAGAATGCTGGAAGTATCCTTTTCATTGTACTCGATTATCTTTAACATTTCTAGGAAGATTTAGGTTCTAATTTTTGTTTTCAAGTCCTTTAGTGGGTACATATTTGCCATAATTTTCCATTTATGAGAATGAGATCCAATTACCTTGAGCAGCCTTAACTACTGATCTGCAGATATTGCTCACCGTCTTCAAATGGTTCACATAATATTGCAGAGGTTGCAGTGCAATGTCTTCATGCTTTCATATCGAGGGTGCATTTCTAGATTACCTTATTTCAATGCTTTTTTCTTCTGGCTTTGTTATCTAATTGTAAGGATCTAATGCTCATGAATAATTTACAGCTATGGAGCAAGTGACGGTTATCCTTCTCAGCATGGAATTACCAAGGATGCCCAGGTTGCTATCCCATCTTTGTATTTTGGTTCAAAAATCTACTATCTGAAAAGTAGTGATGCTCTTAATTGCTTATGGCTTTTCCCTTTTGCTTTCTTCTAGGCTGCATTGGATCATCTCTCTCAGCGAACTGACATTGACACGTCTAGAATAATTGTGTTTGGAAGGTCACTTGGGGGTGCTGTTGGGTCTGTGCTGACCAAAAACAATCCTGATAAGGTATCACTCAAGTAATTGTCAATCATTTGCATTTCTTTCGTTGGTTGTTGCAGGTTAGGGTTTTTTATAGTTTATAAGCATCTGTACTACTTCACCCAGAGTTCATTATATTTTATCGTACTTCAAGATCATGCTGGGCTCTGGGGAACATACTAGTCTTCAATATGTTATTGGTGGCTTATAACCTGGCAAAACCACTGTTTTGTATGCTGCAACTTGAAACTATTTCATTATGAGCCATTGATACAAGTTTGACTTTGATGTTACAACTGGTGGTTGGATTTAGGATGGTTGATTACTTGATTATATAAGTCAAGGAGAAGTTTGGGGCTGGTGAATTGATGTGATTTGTATTAAATCAATGATCCCTGTCTACCTTCATAAGTTAGATAGATATGATTGAGGTCAAAGTTGTACCCAGTATAAGGGTTGAATTGGAAACATTGATTGATGGTGATTAAAGAAATTTTTTCTGGCTTTTGAAGTAGAAACCCCGTACAGAATGGAATGATAAAATGGGTAGTGCTGACAGGCCAAATGGCTGGGACTCAAACATATTTTTAGGCGTTGAATGTATGATTATGGGAAATTTTAAATCAATTTAAGGTATCATAGTCATGCACTAACCTATCTTTCATACATCTCACTCAATTGTGACATTTCCTTGGGTTGATTGTTTTCATTTCATTATTGAATCAGCTCCTCCTATGTGGCTCTAGTTGTCTGTCCATTACTACAGTCAATGTGATCTTCCCAATTGCAGGCTAGAGGGGTCTTTATAATCACTACATGACATGCTGCTACCTATAATTGTTAAATTCTGCTTCACTCCCACATACATCACTCAGTTGATTTATAGCTTCCAGATTCTTTTTTTTTAATAGAGGTTATTCCAGTTTATTGCAATGAATTTTTCTTTCCCCATTAATAAATCTCTATGATATCATTCCTTTCCAGTCATATTAGGCATGCAATTTCTTGGTTTATTTTTGCATTTCAGGTAGCAGCATTGATTCTAGAAAACACTTTCACATCTATTCTGGACATGGCTGGAGTTCTGTTGCCTTTCCTGAAGTGGTTTATTGGAGGCCCTGGGTCGAAAGGTCCTAAAATTCTGAATTTTCTCGTTCGCTCTCCATGGAGTACCATTGCCATTGTTGGCCAGGTAGAGTTAATTAGAAACCCTTGCTTTTGCTTTCTAGAACCATTTTTAGCAGTATATTGTGATGAATATGGCTGAATGAAACCTCTCACCAACTGGTGGCAATAGGATCAATATAGTCCCAGGTTATTGGTTTGCATAGAAGCTTGCAAACCTTTAAGAAATTTGCAACTTAATCGTGAAGGAAAAGGATTTCTGAGATCAATAAGTAGCTGTCTGGATATTCATTATTCTGTTTAATGTATATTACCCTAATAAAGTTAAGGCATATTTTATTGTATGACCATGATTCACTCTACGCCTATTCTTATTTTTGAATTTACCAAATTCCATTGGCAACATAGCTTTATCAGATTTTCTTATTTCATTTATTATTTCTTGACAAGCCACTGGAGCTTTTGTTTTACCCTCTTCGGTTCTTCCCCTCGTGTTACATCAGTTAGATATTCTCGTCCTAACTTTAGAATTTGATGTCTCATTCCTGACTACTCCTTGTGGTTTTATTAACTGCAGATTGAGCAGCCAATTCTTTTTCTGTCTGGATTACAAGACGAGATGGTTCCCCCATCACACATGCAAAT